CCCAATTTCCCAAGGAAATATAATACTAAACGATTATACAACATGTTTACAAATGCTTCTAATAAGCTATATCACGACTGTGATGTTTACACAAATTATAGAACAAAGAATAACTTAAGAGATAAAAAAATATGAGAGTAATTAGAGTTCTCTTTTGTTTGTATGCGTGAGAGTTGTTTTTTATCCATCTTTATAGTCACCTTTATATAGTAGTTAGGTTCAAAGATCCATTGGAGACATACATGTTTATTTTGGAAGGTTGATGATTTGAGGTTTAATACCCTTTCCAAAAATATAGATGTTGTTCCCATTCATAATGTTTCACCCATTACTTTCTTGATCATGTATTGATTGTCATTAATGTGATGTTGGATCTACAGAACTTCAGAGTATTTTGAACTTGAGTGTTTGGTCTCAGAACTTCAATTTGATGAATGCGTTGAAACTTATTTTTTCTTTCAGAACTTTCCTATCAGAGTATAACTGACAGCTTGGTGCTTCAGAAGTTTGACTTTAGCATTAGAACTTCTTTTACTGGCTTGTCACTTTTAGTTTCGCTTCTGAGCTTCTTATATGCATCTCCTCTTGAGAGCTTCATATCTGATTATTCACGTCATTATCTTCTTAGCTTTCATCAGAACTTCTCTGTACATTCAATCAAACGATTAGAGTGCATAGTTGTTCTTCACAATAATAATGTATTTGTTATAATCAAAACTATGAATTAGATGTAGAACCAAAATATGTTCTAACATCACTCTCCTATATATAGAGCATCATTTCCCCTTGAATAACAAACTTAGACAACCACAAAAACTCTACTAACTTCACTCTCCAAAAGCTCAAAAACTAGAAAACCCTAACTGAGATTTTATCTTCGTTTAACTTCAAATCTCCACCCAAAAACCTTCAGCGGCAACATCTGAAGTTGTTTGAAGCGTTACAGAAGTTCTAAACACCTTTCAAGTACCAACTCAAACCCACCATTTTCAGACCTTGAAGCTTCGCTTCGAAAAGGTAGTTACGAGTAAAATCCTTGAACAAACAAGTTATCAATCTCGTTGTCTTGTTCCAATGATTGAAAACCCTCACCTAACTATGATTTATTCATTGTGTTCATCATTTAATTTTACTTTGAAAACCTTAGGGTTTTCACGTTTTCTGCAAAATTCTCTTTGCTAAAAGCAAATAAATTATTCTGAAGCAAAGAGACATGAACGATGATGTTAGTTGAAGCTAAAACGTGTGGTGTTTAAGCTTGAAATAACTAGTTCAAGGTTCTGCAAAATCAAAGTGATTGGATGTTAAAGATGATGATTGTGCATGTTTTGGTGCCAACATTTGCATTCCAGCCAATCAGATCGGGGCGCGTGTCTTAGCTGTTGGTTTTTAATGTATTTTTTATTTTAAATCTTTTTTATTTCATTAACTTTCAAAATTCATTTTAAATAGTTCTTTTATGTTTTTTTACTCCTATTTTTTTATAAATTCACAAAAATAATTTCTACCACATTTTTTTTCTTCAGAATTTAAAAATGACTTTTAGTATTTTTTTTATTTTCTCTTTATTTTATTTTTAATTAAATTTAAACAATTTATTTTCAATCATTTTTAAATATTTTTGAGTCTAACTTTTGAAATCTTATTTATTAGAGTTTTTCTGACTTTCTTAAATTTTGTGGCTTTTTATTTAATGTTTTAATGCATCATTTGAATTTCCTCTTTAATTTCCATTTTAAACCATTTTAAAATTATTTTTAATTCAATTTAAATATATATTTGATTGTTCTTTATGCTTGATAGTTCTGACTCTTGATTGACTTGGTCAATTGTGGTTGATTGAAGCTCATTTTATTCAATTGGACTTTGTATTAGTGCTTGATGAACTTTTTCCATTTCTAATCTACCATTAAATGATCATTTGACCATTTTTACTACTTTGGATTGATGATAAGTTTGTCTTAAAGTATAATGAAGAAGATGAATTGAAGTAATGATCCAATCCCCTTGTCTGATCAATTCTCCATCTTATTCTTCTTCTTCTTCTTCTTCTACTACTACTACTACTACTACTTCTTCTTCTCTTTGTTCTCTTTCTTCTCCTTCTTCTGTTTCTTCTTCTTCTTCTCCTTCTCCTGCTTCTTCTTCTTCTTCTTCTTCTCCTCCTCCTCCTTCTTCTTCTTCTTCTTCTTCTTCTCCTTCTCCTTCTTCTTCTTCTTCTTCTTCTTCTTCTTCTTCTTCTTCTTCTTCTCTTTATTCTCCTTCTTCTCATTCTTCTTGTCCTTCTCATTCTCCTTCTCCTTCTCTTTCTTCTTCTTGTCCTTGTCATTCTCATTCTTCTTCTTCTTCTTCTTCTTCTTCTTCTCCTTCTTGTCCTTCTCATTCTCCTCCTCCTCCTTCTTCTTCTTCTTCTTCTTCTTCTTCTCTTCCTCCTCCTCATCTTCCTTCTTCTTCTTCTTCTTCTTCTTTCTTTTGTTTGGACTTGTGTTACATGGTTTTAGGAGAATGACTTCTTGTGTCATTTCTCTAATATGTATAACATACATTGTTATAGCCCGACCTCAGATAGTTATGACATCTACATAAGTCCAATTACGATTGCTTAACATTACGCTAAATTGTCCCAAATTGGTTTATTAACTACTAAAACTAACATTAACTCCATATTATTGTATTAACTTTTTACTTTATGCACTTTAAATTAATGTCATTTAATTTTATGTCGTTTAGATTTCAAGTCATTTATATTTCAAGCCATTTACATTCATGTCATCTTTATTTTTATTTTATTTTTGTTATTTTGTGCTTTATTGCTTTCAAAAGACCAAAAACATTAATAAAGATCAAAACCCTAAAAAATATTTAATCTTGAGTTTGTACCAAAGACCTTGGAAATTCGTCTGCAATATTGATCAACATTCGACAACTTGACTCTGCTTTGGTTATTTTCACCTGATACTTTCTGGGTTCATCTGAGACTTAGCATTGTCCTGAGATCTTTGAGCTTTGTGACTTTGTCTAAACTTTGTGATATTCATATGTGTTGTGCTTGCTTGCTTGTGGATTAATCCAAAGGGAAAGGGATGCTAAGTTTGACTAATGTGAATTGATTCCTTCATCCTGGTTAGTTCACTTGCACACACAAAGGCTTTCTCTTGGGCTATTATAATGAGACCATATTTTTCTTGTCCTTTACTTTATGCTTTAGCATAGTCTCTTCATCTCCTCCCATTCTTAAATTTTCAAAGTCTTCTATCTTTTTCAAAACTTTCTTGTTTCAAACATAAAACCACTTTCAAAACAAATATTGACTTTGTCAAGTAATTTTCAAAACTCTTTTTCTCAATAAATGCTAAAACACTTAAGCATATCATAATCATTTCAAAAACTCTAAAAAATTACAAACATCATCAACTCAATTTTGTGCTCTTGTACTCCTTTTCTTTTTAACTTTTCAAAAAGACTAGACATAAGTCATCTTCTTGTTGTGATGTAAATTTCATGTTCTCATAGTATGGTTGAGAGATGTTGACATTTTCCACTTGAATGTTGATACATGCCTGTTGATTTTATCCAAGTTAAAGTTCACCATCAAGATGATGCAAATGTCCATTTTCTGATACTTGTGGGTGATAAGTTGAGTTTTCCACTTGAAAATGACGAAATGTATTTTCATTAAAATCAATCAAACAAACACCATTTTGTTCCTTTTTACAAGAACTACGTGATTCTGACTTCTTCATTGCACAAAGAAGGTACATAGGCACAAGGCTCTCGAAGTCTTGGCGAATAAAAAAATAATAAAAAATGAATTCTTTTAGTTTCTTAGTCTAACACAAATTTTCAAGAGGTTCCTACGAAGTACCGTAGACGTGAGAGATGCTAATACATTCCCCTTGCATAACTAGCCTCTGTACCTAGATCTCTCTCATTTTGGGATTTTATCGATATTTTCCCATTCCTTTGGAAACAATAAAGTTTGGTAGTGATTCTTGCTTATTATTTTTGCAAGTTAAGTTAATCAATAGCTTAATCTCAATTATTCCGCCGCGACACAAGTATCTTTGTATCCCTCCTTTATTTTTCCGTCATTTTTTATTGTGTTGTACGTTTAGTGAAGAATGATAATGATGAAATTTTTTCCACGTTTACTGAAGAACGATATTGATGATAAAGCAATATTATTAATCAAGTTGGAGATGAAATAATTTAATAGTTATTTTTGTTAATGAAAATGAAAATATTATTAGGGTTCAAATGATTTCTAACTCTAAGTGTTGAATGTGTATTTCATTTTGTAAGATAGTGTTAGCTGAATAGACATGACAAACTAAGTTGTATTTCTTGAATAAGAATATAATATTTCACCACGGTTGTTCAAACCAACCAAGGTGATATCTCATTTAATTAAATTAATTTCATATAAAGCAGCAATTTTTAACCATTTAAAAATTTTTAAAAATAGGGAAATCATATCACCACAGTTGGTTTATTCAATCGTAGTGAAATCTAAAATATTTTTAATTTAAAAAAGAAAAAAGAAAAACGTCACTATAAAATTTTAAAAAAATGAACTAAAAAATATCACCACAGTTGGAATATTCAACCGTAGTGAAATATGACTTATATTTAATTTTAAAATAAATCAAAAGAAATGTGTCATAATAATGTAAAAAATCACAAATATGTTAAGAATGAGATTCAAACACATGAACTTTACGATATTTCATCAGAGTTGATTTATCCAATTGTGATAATATATAATTTATTTTTAATTAAAAAATTGCATGATTTTTAATATGTCACCATGGTCGTTCAATAAGTTATGGTGAAATGAACGTCGTAGTATATATATTTTTTTTTGTAGTAGTGTGACTTTACATCCTTTTACCATTTTTTTTTAATCAATGAAGAAATATACTAACTCAAAAAACAGTTCAGTTACAATAGGTGATCAAATCGATCCAACCTTCTTCCCAAAGGACAAACAAAACAAAACACTAACACATCAATTTAGCTATATGGTCTCTAAGATTTGTAGAGCCCCATCCTCTATAAACAATATTTTATATAATGATATCTTCTTCTATATTGTTATGTCTAGCTTTTCCAAATACCGTGTCGTTACGCAATTTCCAAACACCATACAAGGTTTCAGACAGAGCTAACTTCATCATATTAACTCTCCATCCGTTCCTAGCAGTAAACTTTATAACCCAATTCAGCTCATCTTGCCAACTCCCAGGAACGTGATTCACTTCTTGCCACTTCAAGATGTACTTCCAAATATTATTTGTGATCCTGCACTCAAAGAAGAGATGTCTGATTGACTCATCATCAGTTTTACATAAGCTGCTGAAATTTTCCTTGATCAACCCAAAATGACTCAGCCTATTCTTAGTTCCTAGCTTCCCATGGAAAATCAGCCAAGCAACATGGTTGGCACGAGGTCTTGCACAGTTATTCTTAAACAAGTATCTCCACGTCACCCGCGTATTATCATCAATCATAGCATCATAAATCTTCTTCATATTGAATTTTCTGTTCTGCAACATGTTATCCCAGATTTGCTTATACTGAGTGGTTATACCTCTAAGATCCATAATGTATTTTATCACCCAAGAACTATTCATCCCTACCATAACATTCATAACACTCATATTTTTCAGTTAATGCATATGCACCCATTTAACCCATAAATTATCAGTTTTCCTACAGAGATTCCATAAGCACTTTAGCATTGTCACTTTATTCCAAACATAGAGATTGAAAATGTTCATACCCCCTTGTCTCTTAGGGTAGCAGACTATCTTCCATGCTACATGGCTTTTCTTGCTGGTTTCATGACTACCCGTCCAGATAAACGTTCTACACAAGGCATCAATTTTCTTTATCACGAATTGGGGAATATGCAGGCACTACATCCATAATTGAGAGATAGCAAAATTTACACTCTTAACCAGCAACACTCTCCCAGTATAACTCAATAATCTGGAAGTCCAATGTCTGATTCTAGCCATAAGTCTGTCAATTAGCGGCAGATAGTGATTGATGGTGAGCTTTTTACTTGTTAGGGGCACCCCGAGATATCTGACAGGTAACTCACCCTCTTCAAAGGCTGTAATGTCCAACATCTTCAGTTTCGTATCTCTTTTAACCCCTCCACAGTACAATTTGCACTTACTGGGATTGACAATTAAACCTGTGGATAAGAAAAAGGTTTGGACAATATCCAACATTATCTGAACAGAAATAACATCACCTCTACAAAACAATAAAACATCATCAGCAAAAGTGAGATTAGTAATGCCCATTTCTTGGCACTTCGCAAGGTGATTAAAGTTATGATTCATCTGCATTTTAACCAACAGCCTATTCAAATATTCCACCATTATGACAAATAACAGGGAAGAAATTGGATCCCCCTGTCTTATGCAACACTTTGCCTGCAGAATATTAGACAGTTCCTCATTTATGTTAAACACATAGCTAACAGCTGTCACCATTATTATAACCCACTGTATAAATCTACTAGGAATACCAACTTCTTGCATAATCTTTTCCATTGCAAGCCAGTCCACCATATCTTAAGCTTTTTGCAGATCCAACTGCATCATGCATCTAGGGATACCACCCTTCCTTGAATAACCTTTTAACAACTCATACGCAAGCATAATATGATTATGAATAACTTTCCCTGGCACAAATGCAACCTGACTTAAACTGATAATAGCAGGCAGAATCTTTCCCAACCTGTTAGTCATGATCTTCAAAATTATCTTGTAAAAGGTTGTACAACCTGTTATTGGCCTATAGTCCCTCACATACTTAGCATCATCCTTCTTAGGGATCAAAGTAACAATTGTTTTGTTAAACGCCCTGTCAAGCTTACTCTGCTAAAAAAACTCCCTTATAGCAGCAATCACATCACTTTTAACAGTATCCCAATAGGACTTAAAAAATCTAGAACCATATCCATCAGCACCCGGGGACCTCTATTTCCATAACAGTTACCTCACTGACAAGAAAATATCTTTGGTCCATACTCAGCTGACAACCCTGTCTCAAGGCTTCTATATGTCTATATGGTTTAACCTATCACTAGATTTTCCCATAAGATTCCCATAGAATTCCATAACCTCGTGCTCTTCTCCTGTTTAGTTAACACCGTACCATCAATCTTTTGGATGACTTTCATACTCTTCGAATTGTGTTTTGTCTTAAGGTAGGCATGGAAAAATGCATTATTCCCATCTCCCATCTTGAGCTAACCAATTTTGGTTCTTTGAATCATCATGTTTTCCTCTACTTCATTATGCTTAATAACCTCAGGCATCTTTTTAACTTCATCAATATGCTGGCTACTCGTTCTATTATTCATAAGCTCCATGTAGGCTTTATTAAGATTATGTCTGCTCTGTACCACCTTCTGCTGGATATCAGAAACAGGCCTATTAATTTTCCTAAATTCAGTCTTCAATCTCAAGAGCTTTTGCCACAGAATATACATAGGGGTGCCACTTATTGGTTGACTCCAATTCTCCTTCACCGCCTCTTGAAATCCTGTCACATCCACCCAACAATTATTGAACCTGAAAGTCTTTTTAATCTTCTTAACATAACCTGGATCAGTGATATACAACATGCCATGGTCTAACACATTGGGGGGCAGAATGTGCAACACAACATCACTATTCTCATGGAACCATTCCACATTAGCCAGCACCCTATCAATACGAGAATATATGAGATTACCACTCTGTTTATTATGCCAAGTAAAAAAATCCCCTAAGTTATCCCTCTCACACATTCCATTATTATTCATCATGTTATTTAAGTCTTCAATCTCAGCTTCAGTCACCAATTTACCACCGATCCTATCTTGGCCTGTAACCATATTGTTAAAGTCACCAACAGCATACCACGGACCCTGCTGATTCTTATGAATATCCTTCATGTCCTTCCATAAAGTTCTCCTCATTCCTTTTTTCCTTTTGGAGTCCCCTCATTTAGTGTAGAATTTGCCTCTTTAATAATCTGTTGAACCTCTTATTGTTTTCCTTTTGGCTTCCACATTTTTTCCTTTGGTGCTCTTCCACACTGGTGACCAAATTTTTGGCACTTTTCACATATTTTTGGCTTCCACTCATACTCTAGCTTCCGGATTCTCCTTTTCCAGTTTTTAGGGTTTCTTCACCATTTGTTTCTGTCTCACTTTCGTGTTCCTTTCTCGCACTCATAGGTTCATCGTCTTCCTCTTGCTTTTCTGATTCCTTCTCCGGTTGAACCACTGGCAATACTGGTTGTACCGGCGACGCGAGCACCGTGACTTTCGGACGCGTGAGTGACCGTTTCGCCATTAACGGAAGAAAATTTTTCCCGATCCTTTAGCATATTGAAAGCAGTGAACCATTATATATAGTTGACCAATAATATCCATGATGATGGATGAACCACTTTATTGAGACATCAACCATATGAGATCCACAAAATCTTTCCTAAACCTCTCTAGTAATTTATAAAGACTCTCACTTTAAATAAATTTTCCCCTCGATTCAAATTAGGTGAAATGTGAATGAGTGACACACTTCAAATTCTAACACCAATAATTTAATGTTTTTTTGTTACAAAATTAATAAAAATTAAACTACTTTTTATTAATGTCTAAAGTAACAATCATGCTGAAATGTCAGAGAGAGATTTCAACACAGTATCTTCTATCAATTTTGGTGAAACTTTTTATCTATATAAGTTAAACTTTATTCACTTCAGGACAGATTGCATCTAACTCTATTAGTTAAACCATAACCTCACACGCCTTATTTCAATCTCATAAAACTCTAATATATTTTAACAAAATTCCAACATAACTTTCTCAACTAGTATGTGTTGGATTCGTGATTGCACACACAAGAGGAATGAATTGTGTGTTTAAGAAAAACTTGACTTTGAAAAACTTTTAGAACTAAAAAATAAATTATAAATGAGAAGCGGAAAATGAAATTGCAGAATATAAAGTGTTAAAATAAAGAGTTTAAGGGAAAGTGAAGAACGTCGAAAATTATAAAGGTTTTGTCATTTTTATGTGTAAATATGTAAATTTTGTATTCTGTGTTGATAAGAATAATGTAAATTTGCACATTTGGTTTTGAAAACAATGTAAATTTGATATTTCGTGTTTACAAGATTTAAAATGATATGATTCTGATTCTATTACATATTTTGTAGTTTCAGTGTAAAAAATAATACATGCCACTGTTATACCTTAATTTTCCCCCATAACATCTCTCATTATCTCATTTTATCAATACATCAAGATCTCACATTAGGGTTGGTTCTCCCTTATACTTCATCTTATCTTTAAGTTTGCTCTTGAGAGATCACCAAGCACTTTGAATTATGTACCTTATACATGATTTTTTTAGTTGGATTAACTTTTAACTAACATCAAAGTATGTATATATGTTTCTTCGAATGTTCATATTTTAGGTGATGACACAACTGCATCCATCTCACCATCTAACCTAGAGTTTTGAGGGATGGCCCTCAGTCAAATGGTTCTTCAATGAATTGCAAGAGCTTAAGCTTCAAGGTTATGTCTATTATATCAAAGTTTTTTGGTTCAAAGAGCTCTCTCACTTTATTTAGGTCAAGTTTTTCTCAAGGTTGGTGGTGGTATTCATGAAGAAGATTCATAGGTTCATGTGTTTAATTTCATGCCTTCTTCAATAAGTTTCATTGAAATTTAAGCTCCTCCATTTAGTGTGTTTCAAGCCAACATCATTTCAAGGTTTAATATGATCCATAATGCCCTATTTTGCAAAGAAAATTCAAAATATTCAAGGTTGATTCAACAAGTTTGACCTAATTGAGCAAGTGCTTGATTCAGTGATCACAAGGGCATAACCCTCTCGATTTTTAATATTTTGAGTTGGTTCTTTTTGCTATGATTCTTATCATTATCTACAACAACTTCTTTTCACATGACAAGATCCAATTATGCAATAAAAATTATCAAAAGTTGAAAGGGGTTCCAAGTCACTTTGACACTCTCTGAGCTAGGGTTTGCTGACTTCCAAGGACCATATCTTGCTCATTTGTTGAGATTTTTGATTGATTCCAAAGCCATGATTCTCTTTAAAGGGTCCTTAACAATTTATCTTCAAGGGTTTAAGGCTAATTTTGAATGGAAGATCGCTAATGGTTGAAGAAGATTATAAGTCCTTTGAAAAGGCTATTAAATTCTCTTGTGTGACTTCAAAGAATCATAACTTTGTCAATTTTTATATCCTTCAGCTCATTCTTTTTCTACAATAATCTTTGGGATGTCTACTACAATTTTGTTTCAATATGTAAGACTTGAAAATGCTTGAAAAGTTGTTTAAGAATTGAAAAGATTATAGTTCTTTTGTGAAGTTCCCCAAATTTGTTCATCATCTTTCAAAGACCATAACTCTTTCAATGTTTATGATTTTTGAGTGATCTCAATTCCACAATTTAATTTGAAGAGTCTAATTCATTTTATCTTCAAGGATCAAGATCAAATTTTGAGTGGTAAGACTTGTAAGTTTGCAAGATATTATAGGTAGGGCTATTCAAAAGAACCGCCGAACTGTACCAAACCATCGAACCGAACTGAAATGGAGTTAAAATAACCAAATCATTACTAATGGTTAGTGAATCGAACTTATATTTTACTAATAGTTCTAGAACTGAAAACCGTTAAGCAATTAACCAATCCAAAAATAATCCTGAACCGAACCGTTGTTACTTAAATTTTAAAATTGATTTTTTTTAAATAAAAAAAGTTGATTTTTTTGAAAGAAAAAAAAGTTGATTTTTTGAAAATCATAATCTTGATTTTTTCGAAAATTAAAAAGTCGGTTTTTTTTTAAAATCAAAATTTCGATTTTTTTCGAAAATCAAAAAGTCATTTTTTTCGAGAATCAAAAAGTCGATTTATTCGAATAATAAATAAAAAAAATCAGTTTTTTCAAAAATCAATAAGTCGATTTTTCCAAAAAATAAAAAAAAAAGTCGATTTATTCAAAAATAAAAAAAAAAGTCAATTTTTTCGAAAATCAAAAAGTCGAATTTTTCGAAAATCAAAAAGTCGGTTTTTTCGAATATCAAAAAGACGTTTTTTACACAGTCAAAAAGTCGGTTTTTTCGAAGAAAAAAAAAGTCGATTTTTTCGAAAAATAAAAAAATTCGATTTTTTCGAAAAATAAAAAAAATCAATTTTTTCAAAAATAAAAATGTCAATTTTATTCAAAATCAAAAGTCGATTTTTTCGAAAATCAAAAAGTTGGTTTTTTCGAAATCCAAAAAGTCAATTTTTTCGAAAGTTAAAAAGCCGGTTTTTTCGAAAAATAAAAAAAGTCGATTTTTTTAAAAATTGAAATGTCGATTTTTTCTAAAATAAAAAAGGTCATTTTTTTTGAAAAATAAAAATAAAGTTGATTTTTCGAAAATCAAAAACTCGATTTATTCGAATATTAAAAAAGTCGATTTTTTTAAAAATTAAAATTTCAATTTTTTCGAAAATCAAAAAGTTGTTTTTTTCGAGAATCAAAAAGTCGATTTTTTCGAAAAATAAAAAGAAGTTCAATTTTTTCGAAAATAAAAAAGTCTATTTTTTCGAAAAACAAAAATTTGATTTTTTCGAAAATAAAAAATTCGATTTTCTCGAAAATCAAAAAGTCGGTTTTTTCGAATATCAAAAAGTCGGTTTTTTTGAAACTAAAAAAATCAATTTTTTCGAAAATAAAAAAAATCGATTTTTTTTCGAATATCAAAAAGTCGCTTTTCCAAAAATAAGGAAATTCGATTTTTGCAAAAATCAAAAAGTCGATTTTTTCGTAAATCAAAAACTACATTTTTTTTAAAAATAAAAAAAAGTCGCTTTTTTTTAAATAAAAAATTCGCTAATTTCAAAATCAAAAAGTCAATTTTTTCGAAAAATAAAAAAGTAGATTTTTTTCAAAAATCAAAAAGTTGATTTTTTTTCTAAAAATAAAATAAAGTTACTTTTTTTTTTTAAAATCAAAATGTCAATTTTTACGAAAATCAAAAAGTCGATTTTAAAAAAAAATCAAAAAAGTCGATTTTTTCAAGAATCAAAAGATAATTTTTTTCGAAAAATAAATAAAAAATCGATTTTCCCAAAATAAGAAAGTCAATTTTTTTCGAATTCAAAAACGTCGGTTTTTTTCGAAAATAAAAAACCCAATTTTTTCTAAAATCAAATAGTTGACTTTTTTGAAAATTCAAATTTCAATTTTTTTTTTCCGAAAATACAAAAACTCGACTTTTTCGAAAATATAAAAACTAAATTGAAAAAGATTTTTTATTAAAAAAAATCAAAATCAAATATAATGGTTTAGTTCTTTCATCAAATGGTTCAGTTTATAATAAATTGACTTCTAATAGTTTGGTACGGTTCGGAATTCTGAACCGTTATACCAAACCAAAACTTTTGGTTCAATTCGGTTCTAAAAAATTGAAACAGTTTGGTTTGGTTCGGATGAATATATATAATGGTTCAGTTTGGTTCATATCGGTTTTCTAACAGAACTGTACCATGAACAACCCTAATTATAGGTCATTTTGAGGTCCCATACTTAGAAATATTTCTAAGTACAAAAGTCTGATTTTTTTTCACGATTTCAAAGTGATGTAACTTTTTGTCCGGATCTCCAAATGATATCTTTCTTGTCACATTGTAAAGTTTGTGACCTAATTTTGTCACATTGAAGGCGATGACATGGACGTCTTCAACCAATCAGAGCCTCCACACGCGTTTTGTCTTATCTGTTTTTTTTCTTTCAAAAGTGATACAATGTATTATTCACTAATGACCATAACATGCACATCGCGTCATATCCCTTAGATTTGATTACTAACGCGTTTTGACAATGATCAGATGGTCCACATTTTTTTTGTTTATTATTTTATTTTCTGATTTTTGTTTTAATTGTTTTAAACTTCAAAAATTCATTAAAAAATTCATTTCAACTTTTAAAATTGTGAAAAAAATTATAAAAAATACTTTTCATTTTTCTCTTTCTGATTTTTATTTTTTCACAATTTTATTTTATGATTTGGTATTTTTTATGATTTTTCGCTTTACTTGATTTGTTTTAATTGTTTAAAAATATTTTTTGGTCATTTTAAAATCTGGAAAAATTATGGAAGGATCCAATGAACTCTTGATAAATATTGGTGACCTCATTTTTTTATTTATTTTTGATTTTACTATTTTTCACAAATTTTGGCTTATTTTTCTTATTTCTTTATATTTTAAAAATAGTTTCTGACTTTAAAAATTTCTAAATTTTTTTGTCAACATTCGTTGACT